CCAGAAGCCCGTGTTCGCTCTATGGAATTGGAGGCGATCTCCCGCTCGCACTCAAGTATGGGGAAGCGATCCACAGCTGTGGGGGAAGAAAATGGCGGGTCAGTTAACATTGCCATAGCATTAATCTTACTTAGCTTACCATCAATCTCACTGTTTGCAAAAGCGTAATGGAACCACTCGTTAAGCGTCTTGAACTGAGGCGGGAAAATGATGTTTCTGGTGATGCGACTCACGATCGCCATAGAGTGGTTTTGCTGCTGCTGCACCTCCGTTGTCTGTCCCAAAGAAGAGGTCAGTGTCTGGGTGACCAGCACTTCGTCCTCGCTTTGCCGCGCCTCAGTTGCAAAGTTAATGGATGGTGATCTCAAACTGAACAGGGCCCACGACTTGGACTTGAAGTTAATACCGTGGAAGCAGGCCAGTGAGATGTTCTGTCCCCGAAGTTCGACGGTGCCACCCAAAACATTACCGTGACGTGGCAAACGGGTCACTAGTGAGGGCACAACCAGGCCTACAGCCTGCGCCAATGGCTTCTGCCAATGGCGGTGATGACGCGCGTCTGTATTTTCGCCAATCATACCCTGAATCTGAGGCGGAGCAACAAGCTCTCCATTGGCTGGCTTCTTCTTGAGCTGCTGACGTCTCTTGATGCTGGCAGTGCGGTCCTGCAAGCGAGGTTCCAGATTGGAGAACACCCTCTTGGAGGATTTGAACTGCTGTGTGAAGAACTCCTCCAACTTGAAGTACATCTTCAATAGATCCGCCGTAGTTGACTTGCTGATCATGATCTGCAATTGGTCCCAGGTAAGATCGCCGTGAATAAAGATCAGAGCTCTGGGTTGATCCTTTCCATGTGCTGGGGTCGCTGCCGCTTGGGAAGCAGTGCGCCATTCATCTTTCATGGCAGCTGAGAAGCTGCTAATTCGGGTCATCAACACTGATGTGCCCATGTAATCTAGTCTCAGTTCCAGGGCCATAAAACTCAGTCCCATGGTATGGTAGGGCTCCATGCCCGCCTCCTCCTTGATGTGAAATCGCTTGTTGATCTTGTTCACCTCAAAACTGCCACCCACTATACCACCTTTGGCATCTAGGGCAGATCCGCCCAGATAGATCCCAGCATACATGTTTTTGTAGCCAGTGCTTCCGATGGAAAGGCGTCCATCCGATTGAAAGTCTTTTGTGAGCCAGACAACATTGCCACACACATTGCCAATGTTCATTTGCACATTTAGTTTGGTAAAGTTTACTGCAAAGATTACCAGAGTTTCCCAGGCAGTGATTTGGTTCTTTTCAGAGGGAGGCGTTCCTGAGGACTCAGCGCTGGAGGACTTGCCCAGATTTTTTAAATGTCTTACAGCTCCGAAGTGTCCCAACTGCTGTTTGTCCATTTGCGACGTTTGTCCATCAAAGTCGAGGCGCATTTTGTCCTTAGCCCTAGGGGCGTCCTCACTGGGCGTTGGAGTAGCAGGTGGGCAGCCAGTTGGTGTTTCTGCGCCATTTCCCTGCTGCTGTTGCTGCTGTTGCACACTAAGATCACCCAGGAAAAGCCTTCTCACAATCCTCCTGCGATACCAAGCTTTGGGAAAGGCTAGGATCTCAGTCAATCTCCTCATGTCGTACTTAAAACTGGCACTACCAATATCCACAATGGTTGAGAAACGTATCACGGCTCGCGATTGATCCAGAGATCTCTTCGAACTGGGCAGAGGTTCAATGTACACCTTTCTGCAACGCGTGATGTGGAACTTAACGAACTCCACGTTGATACTCAACGAATCCTTCCTTTCACTGTCGCTTAAAGGTGAAAACTGAGTTTCCTTAGAAGTCTTTTTGCCTCCATATGGATGGAAAATGAACACATTGAAGTCGGCAAGGCAGCCTGTAACACTTAGTCCACCAGTGGGAAGCTGCTGATCTGGTTGGGTATGAACCCCTGGCTGTGCTGAGTTCTCCTCGTCGCTGCTCCTCTTTGAACTGAACACAATATCCAAACTAGGTAGCTGAAGCATACATTCCACTCTAGAAACTGGCAGACAACTAAATCTGAAGGTAGAAGGTTGCATATGAAAGTAAACTATAACATCCACTGGAAATGAGGCATAAGTCACATAGTTGGCAGGCAGTATGTCCAGATTAACACCTGTATTGTGGGAGGGAGTCGGCGGAACACTACTGGATTGACGTGCAGGAATGGGCTCTAGAGTCTGCTCGAGGAATTCCAAAATATGGGGAGATATGATAGTTTCCTCTGGTATACTTTGTAAAGTCATCCACGCACACAAAGTTGCTCGCTTGCTGCCCATTCGTCGTCCAGTTGGCAACTGATCTCCAGTGAGTTGCTCTGCCAGTGTTTTTGATTGATAGTGCAGTTTTACATCTAAACCTGGGATGTGGAAGATGGTAAGATCCGCCAGCAATGCGTTGGCATTGTAGCGCAGCTTGCTCTTGTCCCTCTGCCTTCTCGAGGGCGTTGGGCTGCCCCAATCGTTGCCTATGCTTCTCTCGCGCTTATGGGATTTGACACTTGAGGCTGGCACACCACTTGAAGCTGCTCCCGATGCGCCAGCGTAGCCTCGCTCCTCTGCAGTATCCTTCGTATGCAGTACGCATTTTCCAGAGTTCACCAGTACCTTAATGTCCAGTTCAAAGTCGATGTTGGGTTCCGGCTGCTTCTGGCCATGTCCATGCTTGCGTCGCATTTCCACAGAGGTGCCATCAACATCAATCTCACTAGGCGTGGTATCACCTCGCCAATCAAGCTCATTGTCAGCTGTCTCCGTATCCGTGTCGGCATTGGGTAGTGAGGTCTGACGCATAGCTTCCGTGAAGGTGACTCGTCCAAGAGCATTAACTCCCCCTCCGATTACTCCTCCTCCTGCCGTATGTTTTAGGGAAGCACTACGGGAATGACAAGAGGCCGGTGTGCTTTGCAAGCTAGATATCTCATCATTGGAGGCAATTGTGTCCAGTCTTCTGCCAGTATAGCTACCATTGTCCATTGTTTGGGGAACACCAACTCCAGTCACTGAAGATCCAGATCCAATGTACGAATGCGAGCGACCATAGGTCTTCAGTGACCTTCTTAACGAAGGCCTCTTCCACTTTTGGATCATATCTCTACGGAAGTACTTGTAACAGATGGCCTGTAGCTCTTGGAGTCGCCTCTCCTCGTGGGCCACTGTATTATGTGATGCTCCCAGAGTGCGTAGATCATTGATGATCTTTAGCTGTTCGGCCATCTCCTTCTCCATCATGAATGAACGCTTCTTAGAATCGATTGTGGGATCAAAAACAAACGCTGGCAAGTTGTCGAAGTCTCCTCTCCGCCGCACAAACGTATCTCTGCAGCTCTGATCTCCTTCATCGCTGTCGGGTGATTCCATTTGGGTCTCATCCTCCTCAAAGCCCGTGAGCATGGTAAGAGTGTGGCCAAGAGAACTCAGCTGCTTGCCAATATTCACATCCAGGTGAATATCCACACCCTCCATTTGCCACTTCACGTTCAGCAGCCACTTGGCGTTCTCCCCCTTTTTAGCTGCTGTAGTGCGGGAACACACCTCGAAGGTACCCTCGGACACAACGCAAACGTTCATAATTGGCTCTGCGCTGTTGGGTTTCCAGTCATCCAGATTGGTTTCAAAATCATCGGCAAAACGCAGGCACAGGCCCTGGAACTTTCCCTTGGAAACCAAAGCGCCCGAATTGCAGGCCGAGATTATCGTGTTCTCCAGCGTGATCACAACTGCGCCCTTGGCATCAAAGTCTTGATATGACCGGGAGCCAAATGTCTACAAAAGAAAATTTATTTGGTTCAGGAATTCAGTATATCACTGATTTAATTGGTTACATACAGTAGTATTGACCTGTTTCAGGGGCAGGCAAATACCCATGTCCTCCACGGTGAGTTGCAGGAAGAGCGTAGACAAATTTGAGCCTGCAATCTGGCCAAAAGCCACGCGATCGAACACCTGTGGATTCTGCATATTTTGGCTCTGATGCTGTCCCGAGTACTGACTAAGGAGACTGTGCTGAGCGTGCTCATGGCAGAGATTGGCGCGCTTCTCCGCCCAGTACTCGTACGCATTCTTGTAGTTAAGCCACACGAGGATCGCCTTGTCCACGGCAATTGGCTGAACGTACACCAGGGGTCTCTTGAGGGTGAGCAGAATCAACTCCTTGTCCTCGTTGAGCAGTTCGTCTTGGAAGGCATTCCTCAAGTTAATGGTAGTGTGAAAGAAGGCGTACTGCTGGAACTCTGGCTCGGCCTCGTCGAAAATCACATTACGGATAATCTGACCCAGGGACAAATTGAAATCTATGTGAGCCTTAAAGAAGAGCTTGCGATTGCTCATGTCCCCCAGGTTCTTCACGCGGTTTGACAGCTGCAACTCCAGCACTCCGGTTTCAAATCGAACCGCCGAGGAGCAGGGCGTAGTGGCCGTCAATTGGATTCGTTTCATGGAAATGTTGATTGAGAAGAGGATGCGCTTAAGCGAGGACTCCTGCACTGCTCCCGAATTATCGCCGCTCTCCTCTGTCCACAGGGGCACGGGTTTCTCTCCTCCGTAAACCTTCTGCAGCACTTCGTTGATTTCACGCATAAACACCTTCTGCACAAACACCAGATGGTTTAGAAGGTCTGTGGTCAGGCAGCGCTCGAACTCGCCGATCTCCGCACTGGCGTTCACGTAGCCACCTCGACGCAGCACAATACCCTCGACGTTTTCCGTGTGGTCCTGGCGGTGATCTGGAATGTATTCCGCCAGAACATGAACTGGTGGCAGGCCAATACACGCTTCCGATGGCAAGTTCATCTCGTTCTAAAAGAAATGACAAAGACATTAATTTTATTGCTTTAAAAAATTTGTTAATATTTTAGTTCACTGCTTTTAAAATAATTTTGCTATCCGTCCTATAACTGCTTTAAGTTCTTTAAGTGTTAAGTAACTAACAAAAATATTTAAATATTTCCCGGCACACTTTCAGTGTTACCTTTTTACGCAGAAGCCAAAAAATACTAAAAGCTTACAGGCGATATGAAATAATATAGTTGACTGTTCAGCATTTTTGACTTGCGATTAATTGCAAAATTAAATGTGCAGTGCAAAAAGATTATAAAATATTTGCACCCTGTAATTTAAACAATAGTTTGACAGCCTTTGTGAGTGTGACACTTATATTCGCCCTGTTATTTATGTATTTATGGGCTGCAAAAAAGAAACCCGATTAAGGTTGATTATCTTATCGCCCCAACTTGACTAGAATTTCTGTGTTTGTTCGTATAGTTATTTTGCTGCCATTGAGGAACCACAATGAAGAGAAGCACCACCCAGATTCTGGCCAGGTTGAGGGAGCTGATGCTCCGCGCCCAGGTGGGCGACTCCTGCGGCATATCCGCGTACATTGTGCCCTCGGACGACGCCCACCAGTCGGAGTACCAGTGCCAGCATGACGAGCGACGCTCCTTTGTCAGCGGATTCGATGGATCCGCTGGCACGGCGGTGATAACGACAGAGAGTGCCCTGCTCTGGACCGACGGGCGGTACTATCAGCAGGCGGAGAAGCAGCTGGACTCCAATTGGGTGCTGATGCGGGATGGTCTGACCGCCACCCCGTCGATTGGCGCCTGGCTGGCAAAGAATCTGCCCAAGGGCAGCTTCGTGGGCGTGGATCCTCGCCTGCTGTCGTTCCGCGTGTGGAAACCCATCGAAACGGAACTGAGCTCCGCGGAATGCCAGCTAGTGCCCATTGAAGACAACCTGATCGACGAGGTCTGGGGTCAGGATCAGCCAACGCAAACTTCAAACAAGGTTATAAACCTGAAACTAGAGCATTCTGGCGTAACTATCGCCAAAAAGTGGGACGTGGTGCGCAAGCAATTGAAGGAGAAGAATGCTGATGCCCTGGTGGTCAGTGCCCTCGATGAAATCGCTTGGTTCTTGAACCTTCGCGGCTCGGACATTGACTTTAACCCCGTCTTCTTCTCCTACTTGATTGTGACCAACGACGAGCTACTGCTCTTTGTGGACTCTAGCAAATTAACCAATGATTTTGTGCAGCATCAAAAGGAGAACAATGTACAGATAAGTGTTTTGCCCTACGCCTCAATTGGCGTTGAGATCAGTAAGATTGTGTCGACCAAGGAGTCAAAGATCTGGATAGCACCCACCAGCAGCTACTATCTAACTGCTTTGATACCCAAGTCACGTAGAATACAGGAGGTCACGCCCATTTGTGTGCTGAAGGCCATAAAGAACGATGTCGAGATCGCTGGCTTCATCAACAGCCACATTCGCGATGGCGTCGCTCTGTGTCAGTATTTCGCCTGGCTAGAAGATCAAGTGAAGAAGGGAGCGGAAGTCGATGAAATGTCTGGTGCCGACAAACTGGAGTCCTTCCGGTCAACAAAGGATAAGTACATGGGCCTCAGCTTCACCACAATTAGTGCTTCGGGACCCAATGGCTCTGTTATTCACTATCACCCAAAGGAGGAAACCAACAGGAAGATAAACGACAAGGAGATTTATCTGTGTGATTCCGGCGCTCAATATTTGGATGGTACTACGGATGTGACAAGGACCCTTCACTTTGGCGAGCCCACCGAGTTTCAGAAGGAAGCGTACACTCGCGTTTTGAAGGGCCAACTGAGCTTTGGCTCCACCGTATTCCCGGCAAAGGTAAAGGGACAGGTTCTGGACACTCTGGCGAGGAAGGCCCTGTGGGACGTGGGCTTGGACTACGGACACGGAACTGGCCATGGAGTAGGTCACTTCTTAAATGTCCACGAAGGTCCCATGGGCGTAGGAATTCGACTGATGCCCGACGATCCTGGTCTCCAGGCGAACATGTTTATTTCCAATGAGCCCGGTTTCTACCAGGATGGAGAGTTCGGCATCCGTGTCGAGGATATTGTTCAAATTGTGCCGGGTCAAGTGGCACACAACTTCTCCAACCGTGGCGCCCTAACTTTTAAAACCATCACCATGTGCCCAAAGCAAACTAAAATGATTAAAAAGGAACTTCTATCCGATGTGGAAGTAAAGCTGCTCAACAGCTACCATCAAAAAGTCTGGGATACTCTTTCACCAATCTTATCCCGCGAAGGAGACGAATTTACTCTGTCCTGGCTCAAAAAGGAAGTTCAGCCCATTTAATTGCTTTTTAACCTGTTATTTCCGTCACTTTAACTAATATACTGTTCACTCTTTTCTCAAGACTAAAATATTAAAAATGCTTTTATATACCTTTTAAAAGGTCTTATCTTAAATTTGTATGCTGAATAAATATTATATAAAAAGGAGTTATAGCTCACCTGAATTTTGGTGTTAAAGCTGAGCGTATGCGTGGGTAGATCGATAACAAACTTTGCCCTCTGCCCAGTTACTCCCATGGAACTGACATGATTCATGCGATACTGAGCCTGCAGTGAAGGCAGTAGCGCGGCATTGATGGACAGACTCTGCAACAGCACATTGAACTGCATGACCAGGGGCTGAAGCAATCCGTTCTGGTGCTGTGCCGTGCCCGTCTTGGATTGTGCCATGTGTGCTGCCCGGCGTGCCGCCTGCTGTGGCTGCTGTTGGGTACCAGCTCCGCCGGAAACAGTACGCTCCCTCATTTCGCTGGCCACTCCAGTTCCACTGCTGGCGCCCCCCGAATTGCGGGCATGGAACGGAGACTCCGGCTCCTCGGCGGTATGTGAGCGCAGTGTGGACCGACCTGAGTTACGCTTTACACGTAGCTCCTGTAGAGTGGACGACAACTGCTTAGAGCTTCGAGTCATCATTCCATGCAGGGCCACCGGATGTTGCGGTATGTCTATGTTAACAGCTCCTATCGACAGCAGGCCACTGTTCTTATCCTTTCCCCGTTTTGAAAGGCTTGAGTACAGCGTCTGGCTTTTGCCCACGGTTACCTTTACCACGGTTCTGAAATAAAGCACAAGCGTATTACATACCCATACACAAATCTGGCAAAAAATTGCTTACTGTTGACTGGGAGCCACCCCTTCGAGCAGCACAATCATGGCTCGTCCCACTTGACCAGTAAGAGAGCATTCCAAGGACACAGGTCGAGCCTTTTTCCTCCAAGTGGCTGTGCTGTTAAGAGTGGTTATCTCCGACTCCAGCTTGAGTCCAGAAAGCGTGGCCAGCAGGCGAGTTTTGTGAATCTTGGCCACACCGAAAACTATCAGGCGCGTACGTTCCTGGGATGGAGCATCTACCAGCAACATCTCCCTATGTTGGGGTAGAGGTGTTGGTGCACTGGCTAAGTCATCCTCGTCGTGAGCAAAGCCCGCAGATTTGCTTTTGTGTTCGTTTAACGAGCTCCTTTGGACCACAGTCTTGGTCTCCGGCATTGTACCATACAACTCCAACAGGTGGTAGATGGTCTTCCAGCAGTTGGGTGTCTCTAGCATCGGCGCCATCGTCGGCATCCCAGCTTTGGTCAGTGTGTTCTGGTAGTCCCCACTGACACTGGTGGCACAAGCACCATTCAGCGAAGCTTTCGACTCGGTGGATATTTTGAGGATATTTTGTTCGTGCAGCGACATCGTTGGACTATCCCTTAATGGCGATGAACTAGACTCATTCAAATTCGTATAGCCCAACTTGCCCTTCACGGATTTCCCGGTGGATCGAAGTTTTTGGGCGAAGCTTTGGGGCCTGTTTTTGGCATTTGGAGAAGGTGTCAGTTGAATAATGGGAGCCAAACCGCCAGGACGCGGTCTTGCCAACATTGTCGGCATCGTTTCGTTGAATTTGTCGTAGCGTTCATCTGAGTAGTTTTCTGCATGGCTAAAGCGCTCGGACATCGAGTTAAATGGCACAATGTCTGTGGGCTCTGAAGCTAAAAAGTAGCAGAAAGTTAAAAGGTTTATTAATTGATGATTGCAATAAAGCATTAACTTACCCAAACTGCACTCGTCTTTGGTTTGGCTCTTTTTGCTGAGCTCAGGCTGATCGTGAAACTCGTTCTGGGCATCCTTTACGTTTTGATACATATTGCAGATCTGATGAAGCAGCCTCAGCAGCGGCATATTTACCTGTAATACATAAAAATAGTTTTATGTAGCTTAACTGCATTGTTATTTACAGATTTTCCACCTACCTGCTGCGAGATAAACCTAACATTTAGGCTGAAGTTAATCACGGTGCTGGTGTGCTTCTTTAGCTGGCGACGCGACATATAGATGACATTCTGGCGCGCCTGATCCACCATGCCATCGGACATTTTTAAGACCTCCAATTCTACACCCACTCGCTCGCATAAGAACAATGGAGTGTCCATCATTATGGAGGCCCTGCCACCATTTGCTTTTTTGTTCAGTTTGGCTGGCTTTTGGGCAGAGTTCTTTTTGTCACCCGCCTCGCTGACCACAATGTCCACTCGAATAGAATCAAAAGTGCCAATCAGGGACAGATTGGTGCCAAAGTTTTCCAGCGAAGAAATGTCCGCGTTGGAGAACTTGTTGATCATTTGTTGTGGCATCACGCCCAAGCAGGTGAGAAGTGGTTCAAAGATCAGATGGGCATCGAGCAGCTTAATAGAATCCTGCATTATGCCACTGCGAGATTGTCCTGCATGTTCAGTCATTTTCAGTGGAGCCGGGCGAGCGTTCTCCTTTTCTGTGAAGTGCTTCTTTTTGTTATCCTGCTGCTTGGCCATCCAGAAGTACAAATCCTCCTTGTGGTTCTCTGCGCCTAGCCAGAATTTGTTTACCGAGTTTGTGGAGCTCAAGGACCCCTCTTGCAAGGCACCGTATTCTGATGAGAAAATACATAAAATCACTAATGGTTTCTTATGGTTAGTATAACAAAATATACATACCGAATTCCGGAACCTGCTTCTCCACCAGCCCAGAGATAATGGGCAGCATCTGAATGCTGGAACGAGATGAATTGCCTTGTGAATAGGCTTTGCTGTGCACTTTATTTAAGCTGATGCACACGGATGTTTTTTGGAGAGAGGAACAGACCACAAGCATGACATTAACGAGATGTAATTGACGGAAATAAGCGAGCAAACATTTTCAACTTACCCGCGCCGAGGATGGTGAATATTTGGCGAAGTGGAAGTAGATCGCTGGGAAGCATTGGCACCCTCATGACCATAAGGAACACCTATATGAAAAATACGTTAATAAAGGAATACAGGTTTTGAATATTGGACAAGCACTCTTCAATAAAGCACTCTTCTTGAGAAGTTGTACACTTAACGAAATAAAAATAATAATAAAAAGCTTCGGAGAATAAGAGATAGGAAGTAGGTAAGATATGCTTTACATATTTATCGTTTAGTGTACAACATACTTAAGATTAAATTTAGTTTCATAGATAAAGATATAGAAATAGTCAGAAAGGATAGAAGAGTTGTATTGTTCTGTAGTATAATGCAAACGCAAACCATCAAACAATATGAAATGGTAAACACTCAAAGCTGTGGATAACATTTGTGTGGTAAAAGTATTTACAAAAGGAAGTGAAAGGTAGTAGATAGTAGATAAAAGCAACACACGCTCGCACACAATCATTTAACTTGGTTAACAAACGAGCAAGTGCATCAAGCAGGAAGGGAGAAATATAGAAAGAGTCTATAACTATACATAAATCTATGTTAAAAGGAGATAACCACCCGCCACAGACGGCGGGAGGAGAGCGTTAATCAAAAAAATACCAATGTGAGTTCGATGATGCTGTGTTTGCCCAAGTAATAATGCATTCTCACTCTCTTCCGGATTCTCGCCGACGCCCGCAAAGGCGCCCATTTCAACATCACCTTCGCACTCATCGTTCTCCGCATCCTCCTCGTTCTGCGGAAACGAAAAGGTCACGTTGATGGGCCGCGCCAGCTTGTTCTTGTACTGATGCTCAAAAAGAATCGGATTGTAAAGAGTATTCTTCCACTGCCGGCTCAGCACAATAATGCCCTATAAAAAAATGGAAATTTATCAATTCTAAGAGGTATTATTTAGCAGAATTACTAACCTGTCTCAGTGTGTTCAGATGTGGAACATCGTGTTGCTTGAATATCGTCTCTATCCTCTGAACGCCCTCATCCAGAACCAACTTCTGCATGATGTAGCACAGCTGGCAACTGGGATCCTCCTGCAGCGTCTTCGACAGCAACGTGTAGTTATTGGCGTACCGACTCTGCAGATCATTTAAACAAAATAAATTAATACAATCGAAATATAGAGTGGGTGGCTTTATAGGTTGTACTGTTGTATAAAAACCTTTATACCTCTTTTGTTACCTTCTTGATCTTGGGGTTTCTCTGAATCTTCTCGTTATCCATGGCCTCCGCCATAAGACAAGCAGCCACTGCCGTTTGTCTCGTGTGGAGAGCTTTCATCAAAGATACTATTTTCATGGCCAGTCGATTACTGGGGTTCATCCATGCGGTGATAGCCGGAGAGGCCGTGCTCAGAAGATTCCAGTCCAATCGAGTCAGATCAATCTTTCGGGTAATAGGCACGCACGGTGGTGCGGCGAAGTTGAACCAAACCGCTTTTAGTTCAATCACACACGAGGAAGTCTTATCCGTTTCCTTGACATTTGACAAAACCTTGTCGTAGTTATCCTTGGTGTTGGTTCCTGCCCCAGCAGTGGGTTTCTGGGTTCCTGGTAGAGCACTCGCAGTGCTGGTTCCTTTTTCCACATCTTCATCTGGAGGTTTGGGTGTGGATTTTCCCTTTTCAGCTCCAGAGGTTTCTGCCGCAATGTTGCTGTCTGAAGCGGGTTGAAACTTCTCCTTCGGAGTTTTGGGTGTAGGCGGTTTTTTCGTTATCAGCCTCCACGCAGCTTCAGCTTTTGAAGTGGCTCCTCCATCTCCAGAACCCGCTGCTCCGTCTCCTTGGCCCACCAAATCATTGAGATTGAAACCCCCCGCGGATGTTCCGGTTCCTGCACCAGCTCCGGCCATTTCGGCCAACTCCTCTTTGCTGTTCTCGGACTTCTCAAAGTGCGATCGCTTAACTATCTTCACACCAACGCCCTCCAAACCACACTCGAACATAATGTAGCCAATGCTTTCGATGCCCGTGCTTTCCGGCATTTTCAGGCATTCAAACAGCACTTTGCTCTTGTGTTCTGGAATGGCAGTGACAATGATGGGCGAGTCCTGGGTGCAGGACTGCCCTTCTGTCTTCAGGCGTCGCAGTTGCGCATGTGCTCTTCCAATATCCAACGTTATGACCAGCTCCTCTAACTGCTTCTCCGATGTCTCAATAAGAATGGGCTCTCCCTGAACATTGTCGGGGCGCGTCTGCGAGGAAAGATGTGCCAAAAGAGCTCGTGTGCCCTTCATGATGCCACCCTTTTTGTTACTACTGCCGGACTGGACCGTTTGCTGGATATAGACGTTGTGCATGGAGGCACGTGTCGTCTTGCCCAGGTGGAACTTCGTGGAGATGCCCTCCATGTAGAAGGTGAGCAGTGACACGCAGCTAAGATCCTATAAAAAAGATAGCATAATGGTGGTAATTTAATCAATTAAAGCATTGTTGGCAAATATACTTACTTGTACATTATCCAAGGCTGCCACTGAGATAATCTCCTCCACAATGGAGGACTGCAGCATGGTGATGCTGACCTTAGGCAAGACGATCAGGCCTTGAGTTTTGGTGGAAATACTTTCCTCATAGACGTCGCTGAGGAAGGAGTCCCCGGGTCCCTGGAGATGTCTTTCCGTTGTGGATCGCTTGGAGTTCGAGTGAACCTGCGACCAGTAGCTCAAGCTCTGATCCCGCTTCAGGATATTGTCGTTGTTCACCTTGGCGATACAGGAGGTGTGGATGAAGTTCACCACCGACAGCAGGTGCATTGATTGAATTGTTGGGACGGCCGCCTCCACCATTCTGGGAAAAACAATAACGATTAAAAAAAGTGAAATAATTACACCTGTTACCCGAAGAGTAAAAGGAACGATCTCAGGAACTATAACAGCTAGAAGGTTGAGATTGAGCATGCAGATTCTAGAGACATAGCCCCTGCGAAAGTTCATTTCCAAATCTCCCACAAGCCGCCCAAAACTGCCATGGACACATTTTATAAAAAAAATGTAAATTGATTTATATCGACCACTCCGCCCACAAACCTCCTTTTTAAAAAATTGTAATTTTTTTTAATTTAAATATTTTTTCACCAAGTGATATGCCTGAAAAATTGTGAAATTTTTCGTTCCCATTTTTACTAGCTGAGGTTTTAAATTTGTATTAGCGTTAAAAGTATATTTTAGCTTACAAATCTACTTTTATATAAGTGTATTAAAGATTTTTGTTGCCCAAATACGCAAAAAAACAAAAAATATGCTAAGACACGTGGTTTAATAAATTATTTTACAGATTTAGAATATATTTAAAGTTCACATAAAATTTTTCAAAAGTTTGCGATTTAAAAAATAAAAACCGTAAGTTTGGTATATACTTTTGTTTAACATTTCAGTATTTTTAATTCGAATCAATGCTATTTGAGGGTGCATGAGCGGGCACACTTTTTGGTCACACGTGTAGAAAAACATATTATTGGTGAGGGAGGAACTATTTGCGTGAAAATGAAAACACCAAAAGCCAAAAAATCAGAAAAAGCTGAGTTAAAACCGATTAAAAAAGAGCTCGGCGTTGTGGAGGATGGTAAGGTAACCAAGAAAACAAAAGTAAAGCCCAAAAAGAAGACACTTAAAGTGCCAAAAGGGGAAGTAAAGGGCGCTGTACAGGGCAATCCCAAAATATTGACCGCGAAAGACTTGGCCAAGATCGAAAAAAAGAAGGCCAAGAAGCAGGCACAGAAGCTGAAGAAGCAGCAGAATAAACTGGACCCCAAGGAGGTCAAGAAGGAACCAGAAGCGCCGGTTAAAGTTGAAGGTAATAGGAATAAACTGGACCCCAAGGAGGTCAAGAAGGAACCAGAAGTGCCGGTTAAAGTTGAAGGTAAGGCCATCAAAAAGGAAAAGCTAGAGGACAAACCAACGATTGTCCCAAAGGCAAAAGCAAAAGGAAAAGTGACCAAGAAAGCCAAAGCCAATAATAAGAATGAAGGTAGGGATAATACATAAACCATATCCCCATAGATATATCAATTGCAACATTTCCATTCCACAGAAGGAGTTAAGCGGGAACGCAATCCCGCAGACGAGGCGTCCACCGTTTTCGTAGGCAATCTGCCCATTAACACCAAACGCGTCCAGCTAGTGAAATTGTTCCAGCCCTACGGGTTGGTTCAATCCATCCGGCTGCGCACCGCCGGTGGCAAGCAGCTTTTTAAGCACAAACAGCGCAAGGGAGCCGGCTCCCTAAACGCCTACGTGGTGCTCCAGAACCCCGATATTGCCAAGCAAGCGCTGGCTATGAATGGCACCGAGTTCAAGGAAAATCACCTGCGAGTTACTCCCGCGGCCAAGGCGGAAGGTTTTGGCCAAGGAAAGGATGAACAGCCCAATGACAAGGATGCCAAGCGAACCATTTTCGTGGGCAGCCTAAAATACTGTAAGTAATAAATAGAGTAGTTTTAACAAAGTGCTAATATTAAATCTACCATCCAGCGGCCAACGAGGAGCAGTTGCGCGAGATCTTCTCCAGCTGCGGCGAGATAGACTACATACGCTGCCTGCAGGATGGCGACAAGGGCTGCAAAGGGGTAGCATACGTCTGTTTCCAAAAGCCCGATGCTGTGGGATTAGCGCTTGAACTGAATCAGACGCTTCTGGACGATAGGCCTATTAACGTGGAGCGCTATCAAGTCAAAAAACTGGGTGCCAAACAAGTACGCGACGCTGGTGCTGCCTCCGCTGCGTCTAAAACGTCGTCAAAGACCAAAGCTAAGAACCAGAACTCGGCAGGCGCAAAAAAACGGCTAGACAAGAAGAAGGGAAAGGAGAATGGTACTACGAAAAAAGAAGGAGCAGCTACTGGTCAAAGGAAGAAGTCAGAGTACCGGGGGGTCAAGGTCGACGGCATCAAGAAGGCCAAGAAGCCTAAAAAGAAGAGCAACGACCAACAAACAGCTCTTGCCAAAAAAATAGCACCCAAACAAAAGAGTTAAAATACATTTAAACTAGGCATAAGTTTTTGAATAAGTTGCAATACAATCCAATGAGATTCATTCGACTTTCTTTTACGAAGTTGACCACCGGATCAGTTTTTGTACAGGACACTAGTTTGATTATGTTGACTAAGTAATTGTTGAAAGACTAATCAAAGGACAACTTAAAAATATAATGCGAAATTTTAAACTATGTGTATTCCGAAATTTTATTTAAGTTTACCTTAATTGAGCGAATAGTTTGACAGAAGCAGCTGTCAGTCATGGCATCAAATCAACAGAGCTTTGAAATAATGCTCAGTTAAGAATACATCGATAATAAAATGTTGCTGCTTGGGATCTGCTTAATTTGCAGTGTTACCCCTTTTGTGCTGGATGCATTTCCTGTGGTAAGGTAATGGTTAATTGCCCTTTTACGGGATTATACAATCGGTACTCTAGGAATCTCAGGCCAATTCCAAGGATTTGAGTGTCCTGACTGCTCACTTAGCCGATCCCGCCGACTATCCCGACCTCACAACTGGTCTTACCGATGCTGAGGTTCAGGAGAGCCTTAAAGATCTAACCCTAGATGATCTGAACTCCTTGAACAAACTACTAGATGAGCGCCTTAGTCGAGATGAAGATGTCGACTCTGACGGTAAGTAATCAATGCAGATGATCTTTCATTGTCACCGGCTGGAACTTTTCAAAGAAAGCAAGTCAAACAGGCCATGGTAGACAAGCGGTGGCCAATATACGCAAGCAGGATTTTCAGTACATGGATGTAGGTCTTGAAGATGGCTGTCGGGACGACGAGGATTCCGATGAAATCAAGCCTGCTTTGTGCACCAAGAAACCCACTTGCCTGACCACCAAGCGCTGCCCAAAGAAAAGCACTTGTGCGCCGAAAACCACTCGAATGTGCTCAAATAAAAACGCTTACGACAATTGCAAGTCAAAATCCGGTGGCTATATGGACGACGATCTGAATAATGAAGCTACCAAATCTCCGAAGCCAAAAAACAAGAAGTGCAAGAAACCAAAAGATGACTCCGAATGCGAGGCAGATGACTTTTTGTGCCACGCCAACAGGCAATCGAGAGGCAAGGAAAGTAGAAGCAAACTTAAGGATGAGGAATATATTCCAGTTAGGCGGGAGTTAGGTGGAAATGCGCAACTGGGTGAGGAGCTCATACCAGCATTAAATGATCAAGGTGAACCATTGAATGATGCACACATGGATCTATCAAGCTCGGAGATTGACAGTAACTTAGGTTTAGAAAACCAAGCGAGTTTGCAGCAAGGTCAGCTTTTCCTCTTAGGAAAAGATAGCAAGATAAGTTCAGAGCAGAAACATCAATCTAATTTGAAAGACGAGTATAGTCGTCAAAATTTCATGCAGGATTACCCCGTAAGCTTAGGCAAATTAAAAGAGCAAGATCAGGCCAACTTAGATCTGAAGTTTGATCGTGAACAATCTACAAACTTGGAACTTAGAAGCCAGCCCACTTTGGATCAAGAACATCAGTTTAAATTAGCACAGCAATATCAGAGTAACTTAGATTTGAGCAATTTGGGTAATTTCGAGCAGGAGCATCAGGCTAATTTCAATTCAGAATATCAGTATAACTATGAGAAAGATCATCTGAACAGCTGGGAGAGAGAACATCTGGCAAACTTTGATGATGGACATCCAGCTAGTTTGCATCAAGGTGAACAGAACTTTAATCGGAATCAGAAAGTATCATATATAGGGGGAGTCGACAGGCCTGAAAACGAACCGATAGCGAATGAAGCAGCTCCACTTGATCCTTACGATCTCCATCAGCTCTCCAGGATGGCACATCGTAAAAGGGAACAAACAGAGAAGCAATTTGAGGAGCACGTGCACAATGAAGGTAACAATAAACAGACGAATATCAAGGATGAGCTGATGCCGCTAAACGATAATCTGCCCAAGCAGGAACATCTCTTCGATAGCGAAAGGTAACATACTTATCATTTTTTGTTGCCTTACCATTTTCTGTATATTTTTTATTAAAGTTTTATTGCCAATAATGCTCGGGATCCACCACGTTATTTAATTCAAATGCAGAACGACTACATACAAAGTGAAAACGCTGGTGGCGAGCATCGATTGCTGGAGGATCGAAGAGAAAGCGAAGCGTTAAACATGGACAAACTCACCGAAGAGTTGCCCAGAGCCATGGAGCACTTCAATTTGGATTCAGCATACATGAGGAAAAAGCGCGAGAATAAGAACAGTGATGACTCCCCCGAGGTGAGTGGGAAACCCCACACCTCATTATAGAATATATATTTTTACGCAATTAGAACTCCAAAGAAACGTATATAAAGAAGCTGATGGACTCTTTTCCGCGGGATCAGGGTGGCCAGATCAATGCCCATTCGGGGCTGAGGGCGTCCAATCTCGCCCATTTGCGCATCAAGCGAAGTTGAGTTATTTATATTATACGCTACACTTAATAAATGCCATTGTATATTTTTTAAATGCACCCATAAAATGATAAACCAGAAGTACGAGAGCTGCGACTTGTTATTCCATTATTTCTTGCTTTGATTCATAAAATTCGAATTGCATTTGCTACGATTATGGCAAGGTTCAGTTGTCAGCTCGTTATCAAAATATAGGCTCTTTTTCCAATTGTAAGCTTATAATATTATTATATTATTATCAGCGCCACTTACCTTTGTAATCCCTCCAGCAGAAGCGGGGTAAGGAAGACATTCAGTTGGCCTTTTAGCCTGGCCACCACCGACGTGCAGACCGCACCTCCCTCCGCCTGCAGACTCATGAACTCCCCATCATCAAAACCGTTCGTAGTCTTGTCCGATTCCTCCTCTTTTAAGAGCACACTGGGGTCCCAGGGATGAGACTTGGGTCCACCCATAAATGTAGCCGAGCTGTTGCTCCCAGTAGCGTTTTCGTATCGAGGAACCACTTTAATCTCCCGCCAACAGGAGTAAAGATCAAAGTGGGGAAGCATCTTGCTGCCGATATAGGTTAATCCGCCGTCTTCGTTCTCCGAGAAGAGGGGAGTAGAGAACACATCTGGACCCAAGGGAAAGGAACATCCATTCCAGTTGAAGCACTTCACCTGCGACAAATGATTTAGGTAGCTGGCCATCAGCAAAGGTGAGTCGATAATTGGCCTGTTGACCTGCTGGTGCAGATTGACCAATGCTACATCCTCTTGTGAAGACATGGCTGATATGAAAGAGTTGGAAGACAGCGATGGGGTGCCAGATGATGAGCCACGAGAATCGGCCTGTAGAATGAATAGGAAACAATTTAATTAGATTTATTCTGGGTGGAACATGAAACTAGTTTGTTTTCGGCTTCTACAACTAAAATAGCCAGTTCAAAGGACACAAGCAGAAAACTGTGAGAAACTATTTGTTAAAGTGCAGCAAAGATTTAAGTCCGTTTTTGCGTTACAAATTTTAAGATTTAAAATCAAATTGCAATCATTTTTAGTTGCTCGAATTGACATTAAAACGGCCAGATAATTCAAAAGTTAAGTTTTCAAAACTAAGAGACAGCTGACAAATGATACTAATTTTAAAACAAAAACATATCGAAATGGAATTTTTTGTGGATTGATTTTGGTATTAACCCACACCTTTCAGCCCCAAAGCTCATAATATTAATTTAAGATAAGATCAGGAGCAATAGACTACATGCACTAGTACTCAACATCCATGCAATTGTTGATCACCGAGAATTTGTTGACAATTTTTTGAAACTTATAAGGTAACAAAGATCTACAGATACATTGGGTTATTCAGAACAGACTAGCATTCGAATTTCGGTTTAGTTAGGCTACTTGTTAGTTAGAAGAGGTTGGTGGGTTGCTTGTTGTTGGTACTAAGAACTACTCACATCATGAACAAAATGTCGGTACTCAGGACGAGATGAGATATTTGTTATTTTTCGTATTGGTGTGGCAAGACCGTGAATGCGTCTCGCGTCTTCGTTCTGGGTGATTTTTGATTTAGGTTTTGGTTTTTATATCGATTTGGTTAGTTCATTAATTGATTTCGGATTTTAGAGATGAGTCGAGTTGAGGAAAGGAATAGATTTTAGGTGTGGCTTACAGTTTAACAAAATTAGCAACACTTTTCCAATTTTTGCCTTGAAGTGTAAGCCAATATTGAAAAATTGTTGCTTAAGAATTATTTAAAGTAAATGTATAGATAGACTTATGTTTTAAGAGCGAAGCATGCACTGAAATAGACTCGAATCGCATAATATTACGAATTGGTTTAATATTGCCGCCCTGATAAATACATGGGTGATATGGAATTTAGTTAAAAACAGAGTTAAAATTGGCCTGAAAGCAGCAAAGCTAAACGCGCTTGGTGTAGATAATTCACTGAGTAAATGGGCCTAACATTATAAAATACGTAATCGAGGTGTTTGAGGATCTGTTTTATAAGCTTTACCAGTTCTGTGGTGCTCTGCGGGCGTTTTGGAAGTGTCTTGTTGCCGTCGGGAGCGTGGATTTCTAGATCGCTGCGATATGTGGGTAATGTGTGACTTCCATTATCGTTTTGGGCTCCAATGCTATATTCGAATAAATACTGTTAGCAAAAATATTATGGGGGCGGGTATAACTTGTATATAGGCACCTTAGATCCGATGAGAATCGCTTCTTTCCAGACAGCACCACGGATCCACTATTTACACTATTTCGTTGCTTCATAGATCCACGCTGAGACATCACATTGGATATATCTTCTTCGGCAGAGAAGAACATCTCTGAGGGGTTCTCCGATGTCAACGATATAGTGCGCTGCACCTCGCGTGGGAGATGATCTCCACCTAGTCCCTGGACGTGTAGTGCAATATCTGCGATTTCGAATTCCAACGGATGTGAATGAGGCGCCGAGTGCGACATTTCGTCCGGTATCTGCAAAGAACAATATATTACAATTAATGCTATTACAAATAATAATTTACTGTGACGCACCTCTGTTTCATCATCGAGGACATCCCCCGTCAGTCTGGAGTCGGAAATGCTAGTCTTAGGTGGTGAAACCCGCAACCTGTTTGAATCGGAACCGCGTCGATGGCTACTTCCCGCGTCGCCGGCAGCTTCGTGCTGCAGCTGTAGCTTCTTGGAGGGACTGTCCAGCAGGCGGGCGTAGGGTACCTCCACGGAAGTTTGTCGCGTACATGGATAACGCTTGGTTCTCCTTTCCAACGTATTCGGGGATCCAATGCTCTCTCGAGACTTATTTCGGCAGTTGGGCTCAGGTTTCTCAACTCCAGTTGTTCCACTTGCCCCGATCTTAAACTTAGTGCCATCGGGTAAGGAGCAGAGATCCGTCTTCTTCAGACTTCCGTTCCGCAGATCTCCAGCTGGTCTGTACAGGCGGCCTTTGCCATTAAAATCGGCTGTGTCGTACAGCGAAACACAATGAAGACTGTAGGGCGGGGTGTGGAAGACAAGTTGACCCTGGTGCAGAATGCTTTCGCCGAAACCAAAGTCCTTATTGTTGTTGATGATGCTGAAATTGTAAGCGTATTTCTTTGACTTAGACACTCCGTTAAAACAAAGGCACTAGAGTAATAAGATGCGTAACGCCATACGATTTTTTTGCACACGATTTTTTTGGGCTGGCTCTAGAGCTTTTTGTTCAAGAGCCAGAGAGAGCGCTCTACGCTTCAGTGATGCCAATATTTTTCTGAATAAAAAGGACAGATTGAGAAAAAAAACGAAAAAATAGACTTAAAAATTTAAAAAAGGATGAAAAACAGGACAGATTCATACGTTTGATTCATACGTTGCCATTGTGCGTTTTCAATACGCGTTTCAAATACGTTTCGGGCATTTTATAGGTTTTATTTAAGACAATTTTTACTACTCACTTTAAAGACCTCACTATTTCACTCACTAATATAATTATGACAAAATAATAGTTTATGTAGGGTAATCAATTTCTTTACAATAACTTTATATTGTATTTTAAATATTTTTTATGAATAAATATTTTAAAATAAATATTATAACATTTCAAACACTTGTATGAATGACATTTGCCCGGTTATTTGTTCAAGAGGGATGCCGATTTGATCTTGCAAGTAATCACACTTAAGAACACATACAATAACCATGTGTTCCGACGGTAAGTTAAACATTCTTCAGGCTTTAATTAAGACAATTTGTACTACTTTGTGCAAGTAACACATGCATGCATACATACATACATACATACATACATACATACATACATACATACATACATACATACATACATACATACATACATACATACATACATACATACATACATACATACATACATACATACATACATACATACATACATACATACATACATACATACATACATACATACATACATATATATACATACATACATACATACATACATACATACATACATACATACATACATACATACATACATACACCGGTACATACACCGTTACATACACCGTTACATACACCGGTACATACACTACACTCACTGCTCGACCGACACTGCGACTCTAAATGACTTACATGCCTTACAGTCCTCACTAGAACTAGTTGGGAATTATAGGGCTACAAGAAAATATTTTTCCTAAGCAAATATTAAAAGCGGCAATAACCATGAGTTCCGACAGTAAGTTAAACATTCTTCAGGCTTTAATTAAGACAATTTGTACTACTTTGTGCAAGTAACACATACACTACATACATACATACATGCATACATACATACATGCATACATACATACATACATACATACATACATACACCGGTACATACACTACACATACACTATACTCAAGCTCGACCGGTAAGAGAGATTACTTGAAATATAATATTTTGTGACTCTAAACATGCCTTACAGTCTTCACTAGAACTATTTAGGAATTATCGAATTATTATATGATAATTATTTAATTACATCATAGACCTAGTGAATATAATAATTATTATAATAATTTTAGAAAACTAGCTTAGTTGGGGAACATGGAAATATTTTATGTTTAACATTTATTATTTCAAGTCTTCGAGTCGACTAAATTAAATATAAATATACGACCCCATTACAATTGTAATGTCCTCCCCATGGTGTTCCCTGGGTACCAAAAAATACATATATTACAGATAATTAATAATAAAAATATTTATATGTAAACGGTAGCTAATTCGAGCGGCGATTTTAACTAAAGAATATTAAAACAACTTCTTAAAAAAAAAGAATAGTCACGGCATAAATTTTTAAATAATATTTAGCTCATATTACAACGATATTGACCAAAACATTAATCAAATTGATTTCGGACCGAAAATCGTCTTTTAGCGCAACTTTTTTGTTTACTGTTTTCACTCACACTTTTTATGCTCTCAATTTTATGCGAGCGGGAATAGAGCAATTACTGCCGCCACCAAAAAAGTGGCTGCATAGTGCAAAACCAATGGATGGCCGTTACGCATCTTATTATTCTAGTGTCTTTGGCTTAAACATGGCATTTTACTCACAAATATC